TACGTAAGCTGAAAAGTTTCGTAAACTTTAATCCGCTTTTCTTTTTCGGATTAGTTACCCTAGTCAGTTTCAAAGCTTGCATGCGTCCTGTCTCATATCTGCGCGGGAACTAATAGTTTTCCAGAAGAAGTCTCGCTACAGGCGAACGCTTCCTCTAACGCCAGCGCCAGGGAGCCAGCTGACAGAGCATTCGTTGCGCCCACGTCCAGCAAGGGTGATAGAAGTTCAGCAGGTCACGACCCGTAAGCCGGCCATCAAACAATTAGCGCAGAAACGGGCAATTATCCTCGACAGGGGAGCCGTTAATTGTCATAATTACGCCAAACTACGATCGCAGTTTTTGATGCGCAAATGAGAACATCTCAGCTGGCAAGCTGAAGACTGGTTGTCTAACTGCAGTTACGTTGATTCACTGATGAAATGCTCATCCAAAAGTTGAAGTAAGCCTGCGATTGAACACCCCGTACATACACAGAGTCGATCTCTTAATAACGTCAGGCGTTAGAAGGAAACGTGGCGAACGAAATCTAATTGAATTTTATTAGGCAGGCATATTCGATCCGATTCCCAAGTTCAGATACCTGAATTGAAACTTCCGAAACATGTGATTGATGTTTTTGCTCAGATGGACTACAAACGTACCCACAAATCGTTGGGAGGTATATTCCAGGCTTTTCCGGCTAGGCGCTGACTGGTGCAGCTATGATAAACTGGCACACAGGTTTGCCATCCCATGTTTGCGCAGGAATAAAGATAATTGTGACTTTCACATGGACCTTCTGAACGGACAAAGTCTACTTAAGTTTTGACTGAAAGTATTGCCCACGTTTTGAAATGGCAGCGGTGAATTGACAGATCTTTAGTGCTGCTGTGTATTAGACAACCTCTTTTTACATGAGTTTAGTGCTAGTTTTATTTCTACAAAGTAAAGATGGACAAAGTTTATATTATTCCTATTGTGTCTTACGAAGTTGTGCATTCTTTGCGTACTAAATTTGGCAGAATCGCTCTTAAATTTACTCATAGATGTGCATGATTTAAAAATTCATCGCCAGAATCCACAGACTGCTGAGTGTCGATCAGTTTTCACAATGCAATCGAAGCTGATTAGTCTAAAGACGTAAAAGGCAGACCAAGAGGAGCAGCAATAAGAAGAAACGTTAATAGTTCCTCGAAATGTTTGTAGACGCCGTACGCACTGAAAGTATGCTCGCTTCCAATCGCGTCTTAGGTAGAATGCATAATTCAGACTATTTATATCTAATTTTACGAGAGAAAACGTGTTGCTTGTGGTTACGTGACTTCACAAATGGCTCTAAAACTCATTGCACTTGTATACTACTACTACTACTACTACTACTACTACTACTACTACTACTACTACTACTACTACTACTACTGTTGGGTTGGGGTCTTCCTTGTGCATACGATATTTGAAGATGAAACTAAAATCAGCGTGAGTTGCTGCGCATATTCTCTAAACGTTTGATGCCTAAGTACATTTGGGCCTTTGCTCATGAACCTACGCCTCCTAGCACCTCAAACTGTGTCGTTTAAGTCAAATTTTTTATCTTAAGCCACCCGATCGAGTGTGCTTTCCGTACCAAATTTAAACGGGCAGGGAGAAATGTGAATTAATAATAACATTGCTACTTATACTATTTAAATAACACAATTTACATCACCAATTAAGATCTGCTAAACGTACAATGTATGTATTTGCTTTCTGTTGGTGTGCCTTCATATACCGTTCACTAACTTCATGCCTTCTTTGCTTAAGGCCACATTTCACGCTCCGCTCACTGCCCTTGGCATGACACCAGAAGGATGTGCATCGTATACTTTTCCCAGAACAATGGGATCCATGCGGGTAAGCATACATGAAAATGCTTTAGACATTTCTGACAAATTTTTATAATTCACCTCCTAAAGTGTAATTAAGAACGCTTGATTCCAAACTATTTCGTAGAAAAGGACCTCAAAGTCTAGAAGGACCTTAATTAATATAAATGACACTAAGAGAATAAAAATCGGCAGGGATATCTTGCGGTCAAAGACCAGCGACGCACGGTGATGGACATTTGTTTGGTTGTGAAAATGTCTAGACCTTAATACACGCGTTCGCTAAAGAAGTCTAGGCTATTGCAGGTCCCAAGCTCAAATAAATTGTTTAGCATTTACTCCTCAAAAAGGAAGTGCCGCTTTCTTGTTCACGTACTAATTCCTAGCACCAAACAGTGGTTTTATCCTGGGTTCAAAAGTAGTTTCTATGTATATCCAAATCCATAGGGTACACATTAGACGTGCTTAGTTGAGCAATTTGCAGAAGCCATCAATCGCATTCGCTGTTGAGGAGAATTTTATTTGGTTCAATGAATACTGAAGTTGGCGTTTGAAGCGTTTCCTTGTATTCTGAACTTAAGAGAGGAAATGGACGACATCCCTGGGTTCCTGTTTGAAGCTAGTGGTTACTCGAAGGTCATCTTTGCAGATATAGCCGAAATTCCGGCGGAAGTATATGCTACGAATCGGGAAACCTCTTATCAAGTAAAACGTACTCAGTCAACAAACGGGGTCTCAAGGACCCACACAAGTACTAGCTAAAAGCCTAGACATGTGTTTCGTTGATATTGTGCTGCTGCATAGCATGACTGCGAGGTAAATCGTCAAACGTTCCCTGTGTGACTTCTGGTACATTCTTCAGTTTTTAAAGTGTAGTTTCGACTGAATATTAGCGAAACACGTGTCTAGGCCTCTAGCTAGTAACTTTGCTGTCCGTATGGTAAATAATTGCGTATATTATACTACTCAGAGCATTTTCGTAGCTTGTGAATATTAAGCGGCTATCCTGCAATGTTTGATATACTTTGGCTTAAATATCTACATAAAATGTGTGTCTGCGCCTGAATGCCCTTGAATATAATGATCTACTCTAATTTAGAAGTAAATTTATGAGGTAACTGCAGAGCAACAATCAGTGGTTATCAGTATATCATGCCACATTTGCAATGTCCGTTATGTTGTTGGAACAGGCAGCTTGAGAGGACAATTTGCCCTTTGTATTTGGCTTTATGTTATTGTGTTTGCGCTTTCGCGAAGGCGACGACGATCGTCCAATCCAAGCAAAGAATAGGTAGACTTGTGATCTTGAGCACTCAACCGAGCCATGGATCCGCATACCGTCTACTGGGTGTTATGCTCAAGGCTGGAGTCAGTTCGGACAAGAGGCATCGACGCACAAGAAAGGCTACGGGGGCCTGAAAACTAACGCCACCGGAGACGAGGTAGGGACCGGCATTCAACACCGGATTACTTACTCACTACTCCAAGTCACTTTTGGCAAGCAGATGCAAGTTCTTGCTCCGATGACGAGGAAAGAGTCATCAGCTTAATCGATTCTGCCGCAGATTCAGCGCAGGGAAGCCGAACCTGACATGACTCCGAAGTCACAGCGAGCAGTAAGGTCAAAGTTCAAATACTGACCACTTTCATACCAGGCAAGTAGGAAGGCTGAAAAATAAAGGCAACAACTCACAACAGGTCAATTTCTCGAACAATAACAACGTCCGCTGAAGTCGCCTCCGATTTCTTTGGGGAATGATGGGCACAGAGATGGCTTAAGATAGCTATTGGCTAAAAATGTGCCGGAATATAAGAAGACGCTGCCTTCAACTCAGCATGACTTGTTTACGCGTTCTATGTGAGCAGTCATCTTTTATATAGTGCATAAACCCGGCAGTTTGACCGTCGCTTTCGACGAGGTCCAGCATGTGCTCCACAGCAGGGTAGTGCAAGGACGATGCCTTGTGTTGGATTGCATTGAAAATAGGCCTGCGGTGTACCTCGCCTACTCACTGGTCTACTAGCCCTAATCTGGGAAAGTGTGGCTGAAAGCAAGCACCACTTGCCATGAGCTGCCCACCTACTCATCTGTTCGGTCCTCTTATACAAGAGCGCGCATATGTACATATATAGCCGCCTCCAGGATTCTCGTGATTGCTAGAAGACTTAGGTATTCTCGGTCAGCTAAATTACCAAATACAATTACTTGTTCACATGGGTCCAATCAGCCCCGGCGAACGATTTAATTTTCTGTAAATGACCTTAATTCCGTTGGTTGGTTGATTGGTTGAAGGCAATAGGCAACTTATTTTTTACGACTTCAAAAGTACTTGTCACCAAACTAAATTCAGCTGAAATCGCATATTTCAGGATAACCAGCAGGAAGTTCTAATACTCTTAAAAGCAATAATTATCTCAAACTGGCATAATCGAAAGAAGATAAAAAGAGATAAATGGTGCTGGGTTTGTGATCTATATATGACACTGGGTGATAAGTTCATGTTCTCGCGTGGTATTAGCCTACTAGAAGTCAGACATAGCGTCATCTCCTTAAAACCCGGCATCTAGACACGGTAAGTATCTTTTATGAAGATCGCCACAGAAAACAAATACCATGCAGTTCTGTAATATTTGGCCGGCTGTAATGGAAATTTAATTGCGTTTTTTTTAAAAATTAGTATTTTATTATTTTACTTAATTTATTTAATATATTATTCATCATTCATTTAACTTATTTTTGTCGGTATATATTAGCATCTTATGATATTTTTTATCTTCTATTCCCTCCCATTACCATCGGTGCGGCATTAGAGAATTCTGGGTTTTTTTGCTTTACGGTGTCCTCCATATAATAGACTGTTACCCTGGACATAAATATGGCCGACGAAGTGGGTTTCGCCCGGAACCCTGGAAAATTCTCGGGGCGGAAGTCCGTATGAAAAACCGGTGATTTAACTGAAATTGATAGATTTTATGCGCAGCCACAGTAACCACGCCTATCACTCCTCATTCTTCATTCCTATTTTTCCTTCTGACACGTTTTTTAATCTTGTCTCTCTGAGATGTATGCCTTTTCAGAGACTTATTCCCTCTCCTGAAGCTGGTCAGAGTGCACGAACAGCCCACTTACACCATCCATATTTCCTCTTTTATACAAAGGCGAATGACATGCTACTTTTCGGTCGCAAATTGACCGCCGTCGAGGCCCTCTCAGCCGGTCTTGTAACCGATGTCTTCCCTGCGCATTCCTTTCACGCGGAATCTGAAGCGAGAATTGAAAAAATGGCTGCATTACCCCTCCAGGTACGGACCCGTTCTTTTTCCACCTTTTGGTTTTCTCTCTGGCGACTAAAAGGTTCACTTCTCAGCCGGGCCAGGCCTTACTATTCAGCTTCACTGTGCGCTAACCGGCTGGCCTAGACAGGCTCTGTGGGCTCTGCTTTCTCGTCTATAGTCGGTTTGGAAAACGGATCACAGAACGGCTACTGTACGTGGGTCACATAAACCAGACTCCTCAAGCCTGACAGTGGGACCGCGTCGATATTGCTAAAGAAGCGCACTCTTTTCATTTACTCTCGAACCCCGAGCGACCAAATAGCGGGCAATAATCCTTGCAATTTCTAGCTCATTTACCTTTATCGGGCAAGACTGCCGCGCGGCAGCTAGTGAGAGTTCATGTCTAAATACCAAGGAGCAGAATCCGTGACCCGCCGGTTAATGACGGGAAATAAGCCAAAATTTTATCACTTATGTTCACACAGAGCTCGTTTCCAACGTTTGGCGCAGGCCAACACCCCAAATGTTGTGCTTAAAAGGTAGTGGATGTATCATAGTCGCACACCTGGTTGTACCCGAAAACAAAAAAACGCGTTTTCTGAACTCATCACTGCGTTCGAGGATGCTTTTTGGTGCATATTCAATTATATGAAGTTAAGCTATTGAACTCCTAGGAGATCGGTACGCAACCGCGAGGGAACAGTGTACCACCAGTGCCATCAGTCCGGAGATGCCTGCGCAGCGCGATGTATGCGGGCGCCAGATCGATAGATAAATTGACTGAGCTCTCATCCGAGGTCCAGACTTCAATCAATTCGCGGCTTGTTTTGTTGCCGGCGTGCGTGATTACCTTCACAGCTGCGAAATTAAACTCGTGACCGGTCTCGTAGGTATGGGCGGTCACCTTTATCCCTAACGATGGACTCTAGAGAAAGCCCGAAATCTCAGACAAGTAAAAATATGATTCCGGTGATCGCAACGCCTTCTACTTCTCAATCTACCCAAAACTCCCTGTATGCTTTCTGGTAGATACGCCAGCTTTCAAATTATAGCTTTTAAATTTCCTCAGAAATTAATTGATAACTTAGATTATAGCAGTACATTCAAGCGTCTTCAAGTGCAAACTGAAATTATATAGCAATGTTTTTTTCGTAGGAGTATTCTGGCTCAGACAAGGCACCGTGATATAGCTATTTGGGCTATTGGCCCTCATCAG